TCTTTCCACATGGTTGCAGCAGAAGCACTATGTCTGTGCAGTAAAATGCTGTTCCCCTGCTCAAAGCTGGGGTTGGCAACTGGCCCAGGGTAGAGGAATAAGATGCCCTTCCATTAGAATTAGAATCTGCTGAGCAATTAATGCAGCTTCTTTCTAGGGAGCTGTTTCTTTTATACACAAACCTGGGTGCAACTGGGGACCATGTGTTCATCTGGATTGGGGAAGCAAGCACAGAAAACCAGGGTGGAGAGAGAGAGAAAAAGAAAGTGCGGGTGGGGCAAGAGTCACCACAGAGGAGCAGAAGCAAGAGATGAGAGTACTTTTGATGTTTATGTGCCAGCTGCAATCCTGCCCTTAGATTTTATGAAATGCCTCTGTATCCTTATAAGTTCATCTTTGTTTTATTATTTGTTTAAATGAGATTTAGCGAATTTTTGTTGCTTATGACCAGAATCCTATGGAATACATCCCCCCTGCCAAATTATATACTCCCTCTGACAATAATAATTTGATGTTAGAACCATCCATCCGTATGAGTTTCTAAGGGATGCTGTAACAAATTACCACCACTAGGTGGCTGAAACAGTAGAAATTTCTTTTCTCACAGTTCTGGAAGTTAGAAGTCAAAAGCAAGGTGTTGGTAGAGTTAGTTCCTTCTGAGAGCTGAGGGGGAGGATCTGTTCCAGGCCTCTTTCCTTGGCTTGTAGACAGACACCTTCTCCCCATGTTTTATCACGTTGTCTTCCCTCTATGTGTGTCTCTATCCAAGTTCCTCTTTTTTATCAGGACATTGGTCATACTGGATTAGGGCCCACCCCATGACCTCATTTTAACTTGATTATCTCTGAAAAAAAATGTATCTCTAAATAAGATCACTTCATTCTGAGGTACTAGGGGTTAGAACTCCAATATATGAATTTTGGGGAGACACAATTCAACGTGTAACTCCATCCTAGAAAGTGCAGAGTACCAAACTGTGCCTAATACACAGTAGACACCGAAAGCTATTTCTTTGGATTTAATAAAGAACTGCTCACATATATAAAATACTCACTGTGTGCCAGATACTGTCCTAAGCAGTTTTCATGTATGCAATTCTTTTAATTAACACTTGACCAGATTAAAAAAAATAAAGAAACAAGGCAGATTGGGAGATGGAATAACTTGCACAATGTCACATAGTAAGAAGCAGGGCCAGGATTTAAACCCAGGCAGTCTGGCTCCAGCCTGTACTTTTAATTGCTGCCCCCCACTGCTCCCACTGTTTAGCTGAATTAAGGCATTAGGTGGATTACAACTGGGAATTTGGGGAACCTAAAAATAACCCATTTAAACAGAAAAACAAGTTTACATTGAAGGGAAATATCATTTCATGGTGACTTAAATGTATCCCCTTGGAAACATTTAACAGAAATTACGACCAAAGACCTAACCATCTCCCCAGATGGCCTTAAAGTAAACCCAGAGTGCTTATGTCTCTTGCTTTAATTAATAACCTCATTATGCTTTAATAAGGTGAAAAGCAAAGAGCCCTGTTAATGAGTGTAGGTTAGTAAATAGTGGTAATGACCTAATTATTAAGTCTAATGCCTTAAAAATGCAGTCCCATCATGTTTAAGATACTGCACTGGCAAGATTACAAAGAAGCATTAGCAAGAAAAGTAAGTTGTTGCTTATGTTTATGGAGAAAAAGAAGTTAGCAGAAAGTTGCAACACAGGATAGTTGGGCAACAAATATATAAAGAAAGGAGGTGAATCTTGCATGATAGAATTTTTGCCCAAGACATGGCAAAGGCCCAGGGGCTGTCGTACTGCCCAAATGGAAAGAAAGTTACCTGGATAAAAGGCACACTGAGGCTTAGATATCCAAGTTACAAGTTCTTCCAGGTCAGATCGGGGTATCTAGATTTATTTCCCAGTTATGGTTTATGGGTAATCACAGGAGGTCAATGCCTGGGTTGTAGGGTAGCAAGTCTCTGCTGGGTAGAGCAAAAGAAGAGTCCTCTTCTATATTTAACATTCTAGAAACCTCAACCATCATGGAAATGAACACAGGGATCTCAGCCACTTCTCCATCAAGACAGCATGATGGCCTTCCTGGTAGAATCTTCAAGAGCAGTCAATTTTCAGAGCTCTCACAGAAACTGTAGTGGGTTGAACTGTATCTTCTTAAAAAAAAAACAGTCCACATCCTAACTGGTGATTCTTGAACATGTGACTATTTTTGGAAATAGAGTCTTTGCAGATGTAATTAAGGATCTCGAGATGAGATCATCCTGGACTAAGGTGGGCCCTAGATCCAGCAAGAAGTCCCTATGAAGAAGAAAAGGGGAGAGAGAGACCCAGGAAAGAAGGCCATGTGAAGACAGAGGCAGAGACTAGAGTTACACTTCCAAAAGCTGAGGACTCCAGGACTCACTAGGAGCTGGAAGAGGCAAGGAAGGACCCTCCCCTAGAGCCTTTAGAGAGGGTGCAGACCTGCCGGCACCTTGATTCAGATGTCCAGCCGCCAGAACTGGGAGAGAATAAATTCATGTCATTTTAAGCCACCAAGTTTGTAGTAATTTGTTACAACAGTCCTCAGAAACTAATACAATAAATTAGGAAATGAAATGCAATTTTGGTATTGTAGGCAAAGGAGTCAGGGTTCAAAGAAAGTCAATATGGTTAGGTAAGCTCCTTTACTCACTCCACCTAACACACATATATATGCCTAATATATGCAAATATATATATGTATATATACACAAACACACATTCTCTCTAGTGTGTGCTCACACACACACACACACACACACACACACACATTGGCCATTCACCTGTATCGTAAAACATTATCATAAGTCACTTAAGTTTTCTGCATAAATTAACCTTTTGAACCCAAAAACCTTTTAGCCCAAACATTTTTCTTATGTGTTGTCTTTATTAATACTATACATTAAGCCTTGTGGTGTGGATAAATGAGTATTCAGACAGACTGCATTCAGATATAAGCTGGGCAAGATACTAGCTAATGAATTTGGTCAAGTTATTAACTGCTTTGAATCTGTTTTGCCATCTCTAAAATAAAGATAATAATATCAATAATATCTACCTTTAAAAGTTTTTTAAAGATTCAGGAAAATGTATATGAAACACCTAGCACGGGGCTGAGACAAGAAGGACTATCTCTAAATAGTTGCCATTATCATTTTCAAATATTTCATTGTCTTCATAAGGGTAAACTGAATGTACAAAAAAAATGGTGTAATGAAAAAAGAGCAACCTCTTCAAATATTTGTAACATAAATTTAAAAAATATATAGAAGTATAAATTATATATATAAATTATATATAAATTATATCTGCTTATATCTGCTTATGGCTACAATGAAGTAACAGGGGCCATATTTACACTCCCATCTTAAACAACTAGAAAACCAGACAAAACATATTAAGTAACAGTTTTCAGACAGTGGACAACAGGCAGGACTATGGCAGGACTATGATCCTGGCAAAAAGGAAATAAATGAAACTATCCCTATAATTGCCCTCGCTGACTGCCTGGATGCAATTTCCAGGCAGCGGAGCAACAGGGGAGAATGCCAACAGAGCTCAGCAGTCTCACTGAGCTGAAGACTCAGAGTCTAGAGCTCAGAGAGGTCAAGGCAGCTAGAATTTGCAGGACAGAACACAGGAAAAGAGGGGACTGCACAGAAAAAGGCCTCCAGGGAGATCTGCAAGTCTTTGGCTGAGTACTGATCTGAGCATGCATGAAAGAAAACTTCTCAAAGCCAGAGAAAGCACCATCGAAAAACAGTAGACTCAAAACCCTCCAGAACCCACACAGCCCCAGTATTTAAATGAAGGTCTTATGTCCTGGGAACCTCCTTAGTCCCAGGCATACTGGGATGATTAATCACTCTATCTAGTTCTGTCCTAAGAGAAGCTTAAAAGTATGCCCTCAAGGTATCAAGCTTATTCTAAGCAACTTAACTGCGTCCCAGAACAAAGTACAACACTATTTAAAGAAATACAACAAAATCCAGCACCTGACATATAAAATTTACAAAGTAAAATTTGTGGCATTTGATCATAATTACCAGGCTTTCGAGGAAGCACAAAAATATGACCCATAATCAAGAGAAATCAATCAATAAGAACAGATCCAGAAATATGAGACATGATGGGAAGAGCAAAAATGGAAGTTAAAACAACTATTATAAATAGGTTCTGCATTCTCAAGAATGTAGAGGAAAAAGCACTAACATAATGAGAGAAATGGGAAATTTTTAACATGGAAAAATAAAAGTTCTAGAGATAAAAATATAATATCTTAAATTGAAAATGCACTGTTTGGAATTAACCGATTAGACATTGCAGTAGAGAATAGTAATGAACTTGAAGAGAATGCAATACAAACTATACAAAACAAAGCCCAAGAACAAAATTTTTAACCCCCTCACTACACACACACCTCGGT